TTAAGACTAATATAAATAATTAAAAATAGATTTTGCAATTGATTTTTTAATTTGCAATATTATAAACTTTAGAAATAAATTGCAATCATATGATTATATAATCATATAATTTGTATTTTAAATAAAAATATCTATAAATAAAAAAAAATATTATTATATAATTTTAAAGATAAAAATTAATTAATTTATAAAAAAGAATGTTAAAATATATTTTTACTAAAATAATATATTTAAAATTCTTCTTTTATATTAATTTTTAAATAAGAAATTACAATATATAAAAAAATAAAAGAATATAAGTAAATGTTTTTAAATAAAAAATAAATTAAAATTTAAATAAACTTATTATTACTATTTTCATATAAATTTATAAAAATGTATAATATATTATAAAAATGAATGTTAAATATACTGTATATAAAATTAATTTATTATCAAATATATAAAATTATATATAGAATTACTAAAATATATCAATAATAATATTAATTCTAATTATAATTTTTTTTATTAGATTACTAAATTCAAAATAGATTTAGATAAATAATTTTAATTAAAAATTAATAAGATAATTAAAACTATTAAAATTCATTAAAATTTATTAAAATTATCAAAATTATCAAAATCATTTAAAATCATTTTAAATTCTTGATTTTTATTAGAATTTTTCTTATAAATTATTTATAATTTTATATATATAATTATTAAACATAAAATTTTCAAAAATAAAATATTTAAAAGTTTCTTATATTTAAAATATTTAATAAATTAAATTATTTTTTTTTTTTTATATTATTATAAATTTTATTAAAGTTTTTTTTAAAACTAAATAAATTATTAAATAACTTGATTAATAAAAATGTTGAATATAAATAAATCAAAAGGTATTATAATATTTCAATAAATTAAATTTAATCTTAAATTATTTAAACTTTAATTAAAAAAAAAGTTATTGTATATACTAGCAAAATTTTAAATAAACATAAATAAATTTTAGTATATAAAAATTAGAATATTTAGCTATATTACTTGAATAATAAATAATTTTTTACTATTAATAGCTTAAAATCTTTATATTTATTATAAATAATGCAATTTTAAAATGAATGAAATATTTACAGTTAAAAATAAAAATTAGAAGATTGAATAATTATTAAATTTGCAATAATATAATTTTAAGCTATTTCAGTTAACTTAATTATTAATTGATTTATGATTCTCATATATATTAGTAATCATAATTTAATTATTAATACTTAATATTTAAATATTATATTTCTAGTGAAGTTATAAGTTTTTATTAGATTCTATTCAGGTAAAAATTTGAAACTTTACTTAATTATAATATTAATTTGAATAGTAATAAAGTTATAGTTTTCACTAATATATGGTTTCTTTTTTTATAATAAATAAAAACTTATATTGATAAGATTATAAAATTAAAAATTATATTTTAGAAATAATATTTATATTTAAATTTTATTGTTTATTATTTTATTTCTTTTAATTACAATTATTTAGACATTAAAAAGGTGATTTAAAAAGCTTTAATAAGAATCTGTTTGTTTCTGAAGAAAGTATTGGATAGATTAATCAACTACCTTTATGAGTAAGGCTGTTGTAAATTCATTTTCTTAAAATAACATATTCTGGTTATAAGTTAAACATTCTAGTTAAATATTTAAAGTTCTATCAAAAAGTTTACTAATTGTAATATTTTGTAAAATTACAACTGAGTTAATTATATTATTAAACACTTAAATTGTTAAACTTTATTCTTTTATATAAAGTCTATATACACGAAAAATTTGTAGCGCCAGCCATGGAATTGACTCAGTCAGTCGATCCTTTTCAGTTGACTCAGCCGTCAATTAAATCGCGACTCTCATTTGAATTAGCAACATAATTTTATTAACATTTAAAAAAAATTTTTTATAAATTTTGAATTATAAATTTTTATCAGAATCCCATTCGACTAAAAATTTGAAACTTGAGAATTTCGATATTATACCAAGTTTGTTTGTAACAGCGACATAGTCATGGCTATTTTATATATATAAAAGCAGATTTTAAACATTTTTTATTCCTGATAAATTGTCAGAAATTTAACCAACCTTAAATTGTAAAATTTACTATTAAATTTATTATAAATATTATTGTTTATAAATTAAATTTCATTGAACCTTTATTTGTTTATTCTAACTTTTTTATGGTTGAAATCATAATAAATATTTTTTACTTTTCCTTCATCGCATTGAATAGAAATAACCCGTTAGATTGCTTTTAGTGATCGACTACAAAAATTTTTGAGCAAAAAGCATAAACATAGATTGTTTAGTACATGTATGATGGGACGTATTTTCGGTCAGATGAATATTTTTAATATTTTACAGGTCCTTGTATAATTTTGTATTTTTTAATAGGTACGATTGAGTTTATTAAAAGTTTTCTTTTCATATGAAGATCTGCAATACAAAAATGGACTTTTCTTTCAGAATTACTTTATAGGTATAATGAAATATTATTGAACAATGCAATTTGTTTAGTTACAATGCAGCGGTAGTACGATTATGATGTAAACAATAAAAATATTACCGGACAGGTGATAGAAATTACATCATTGTAAATGACCAATTTTGTAATTCCGAATGTTTGTAAAGTACATCAATATTTTGGTTTCGCAATACTAGCTAGCAACATGACATAAATTAGTATTTATCCTATAGTTTAGAATGACGTAAATTAATAAATTTTCAAATGAAAATCTAAAAAAAAAGTTCCTTAGTCTCATTGGGTTAGGACTAAAAAGGAAAATTTGAAACATTAAACAAAATTATTCATTGGTACAAAATATTTCTCGACATTTATAACAGAGTTTAGAGAGGTTGGAATAGGCCGAATTGTTTACAGTGTTTCGTCGTTAAAATTTATGTAGTCGAATGATAAACTTTTGACCAATTCCAATCTCTAATCTCGTAATGGAGAAACCCACCCAATCCGTGAAATATAAGAAAGTTTAGATTTTATTCTTGTTATTATAATTGGGTTTAATTGAGCGGTTCTTCAATTAGATCATTTGTATTTTCTCCGTCATTAATAAGAATGTGCTTGTATAAAAGAGGTTATTGATGTAACACAGCCACATTGTACCGTAAAATGATCAACACCCGACATTTGATTTTGTTAACTAACCTTATTTGATTTGATTTTTTTTTTTCTACAATGGATTTTGGGATATTAATTTGACGATCAATGTGTGTAACATAATACAATGTGGCGGTTTAGAGAAACGTAGATGTTTCAGTCTTGTAAAAAAGTTGAAACTTCTTTCACGTGAATTAGATAATAAGGCTAATTACGCTGATAAGTGGAAAACAATTGACACATTTGTTAAATCGAAATGGCAAATTAAATTATTAACATTAACAATTCGGCGCGAAATTTAGAAATCATATTATTCTCCAATATTAAAGAGTCGGGCAAACATTTTTTTTTGTTCATGTTATAAAAATCAATGCATTGTGAAATTTTTTTCGTTGTTCGAAGGAAAACAACATAACTTAATTATTTTGATTGTTGATAACAATGATGATGCAACATTAAAATGGTTTAGCACAGAGGCGTAAATTTTGAATGGTGAATATGAAAATCATGCGATTAATTATTGTAACAATTTCATTAATGCAGTTTTAATTGTAACAGGAACGATTATTGGATGTTTATAAGGACAATAAAGACAATAATAAAGCAGATTTAAAGGAGAAAAAATTATTACGCAGTAGATGATTCTTGTGAAAAATTATAAGCTTTTAGAGAATCAAAAGTAGATTTGTTATCATTGTACAATGTAACAGAAATTAATGATGCAAGGCTTGGCAACCATATGATTAAAAATGTAAAAATAAATTCAAAAGGCTTCGATTTAAGAAATCTTTAAATCATCATTAAGTTTGCTTATTTGTTTACATAGTTAATTTTCGTGATTGGATATAAATATATATTGCATCAATAGGTACACCTATGCACAAAATGAAACACAACTTCATCTGAAAGGTCGGTGAATAAAAATGATTTACGCGATAAATAAGTTCTTTTTTTTATGAAACGAATTCAAGCGAGAATTTCTATAGCTTAACTTATATTCATCAAGTATGCTTGTATAAATTAACGATGTGATTATTGATGCGTCATGCTGAAAATTTTTGAATTTTCAATAAAGTAAGAAAGGACTGATTTTACAAAGAAAACGCGCTGTGTTTTTGTGTAACGTGGCATGATCGATCAACTATGGCGCCATAATTGGCCTGTTCAAATTTGGTTGGTTGGATTTTTTGCTTTTCTTGTGTCACCTAAATTAACAACTTAGGTTGATTTTTTGGGTAAATTTTTTTTTTAATATTTAATTTCAAAATAAAAAAAAAACAAAAGAACGCGTAATGTGCGTAACAAGTATTTAAAATTATTAAAATTTTATTTTGTTTTTATTGATTTCCGTCTCGAACTTTTAACTCCAGAAAATTTTAGAGTCAAAAAGTTCAGATTTAGTTTGTGTTGTACAAAAGGATCTGATCAAACTTCAAATCGACCGAAAATCTGACCGACCAAATTTGAACAGGCCCAATATTTTTTTTTAAAAATCGTGGATCATATATTTACAATGCAGAAGTTTCGAGTAGATCATTTAATACGATAAAATTTATGATTTATTTATTGAAAACTTAACTTAAGCTAGTCTAGTAAATTTACAACAATTATACATTCACTTTTTACATATAAACCATATAAACTTTAAAGAGAAATAATAATTGAACGTTACATAATAATATGACGTCGTAAAATTCTTACGCGAAATGTTAAAAAATTTTCTAACTAATATTTAACACAACAAATTTATATGATAATAAGGGGACGAATTATATATATATATTTATATTTTTTAAAAAAGTATTCAATACTTTAATTTGTTAGATTTGCCAATTTTTGCCAAAAAAAAGCTTATTTCAATTGAATTGGGAACCATTAAAAAATCCATAAATCAACGCATTATTCGAACTTTGAGGTGGGATCCTTGCGATCCTATTCATAAATGCATTATGCTGAAGGTGTCTTCGAAATGAAATGTATGCGTTTCGTTGCCTTCTAAGATGATTTCTATGCTTTCTTTGATGGTTTCTTATAGATGGTGTTGCAAGGATTTCGCGGTTAAAAATATCGTCCATATTTGAAGACATTTCCTTACGTATTTATAGAATTTAGTTTATTTTTTTTTTTGTTTAATTTTTTTCAAGTTTTTGTTTTTTTTAGATTTTTTTAAATTTTTTATGTTTTGGTGCCTGGGATAAAAATTTATGTTCAGCTATATATATATAAATGTTCATTTATATAGCATTGACAATCCATAGTAAACAATTATTACTTAACCATATTAATGATAAATATATAGTATTGACACTCAAGACAGTCAATTATTTAAAAGTAAACTCAATTAAAACGCGTATCTTTATTAATCTAACGATTAGCAAACCTTATTGTCCATTTTCGATTTAAGTTTATGTATGACAGCAGCAATAGTAACAAATGAACAATTGATTTTGAATGACGTTCTGGATCATTTTTTTCTCTTGATGCGATTTTAATAGAAAAGACCCTTGATCCGTTAATCATTATTTGGTAAATCAGTTCCTATTCTCCTCTTCTCCGTTAGATTAAGGAATAAACTTTACATTATAGTACAAATTAGGGAATTTTTTTTTAGCTATATTCCAAGTTAACATTGGTTAGGATTCTTTATGATTTGTAACAGACGATCCTCATGTAAATCTCAAGAATCTGTGCGATTTTTATGAATTGCATGCAAACATTTCGTTGGTAGAATTAAAAAAAGAAAAAGGGTGATTTATCTTAGAATCGATGCCACGCGGTAAATAATCACAATAAGCGAACTGCAGTTCTCGATGAAAATCAATTAAATAATTCAATATTTACAAACACACACAATGTAAGAAGGAACAAGTAGCTATTTACCGTGGATTATTTAATCGGTAAAAACCGGATTAACGGGAGATAACATATTTTTTTTAAACAATAATAAATTTTTTGATTTTTAGTCATGCGGAAAGATTTGTTTTCACTTAAAATTTTTTAATCAAATTATTTGCGCTAGGTCACGCATTTGTTGTGAATAATTAATTCTTTATTTTTGAAGGGGCAAGTTTGGCATCATGAATAAAAGTGCTCCGTGCATTTATTTGAACACCACATTGATCATTATTGTTATGAAACAAATCTACTCTGAATGCTAGTTGTATTGGTAATTAATTAGATTAAAAAATATTTATTTTATGCAAGTAAAATATTTTTTACAAACAGGGGAACGATAAATAAAAATATTTTTTTCATTGATAAATCTAAAGTTTTTATTACAAATAAAAAAAAAGATCTGCTTACAATATACTTTTAAAAAGAAATTAAAATCCGTTCATTTCGTGATACCAAGTAAAACACGAATAAGAAGTTCTTATATTTACCAGACAAATGGTACTAATATTCCCCTTATTTCCCTTATTTCCCTTATTTGAAAGTAGGCTTCTTGTACGCTAAGCTGTACTTGAATTTTATTAAATGGAAAATGTTCATGGCAAAGTAAAAAAAAATCTTTCAATATCATCCGAAAATAAGTCTAACTATATATGTCTTACACATTGAAAAAAATTAACATTAGCATTTATTTCAACTTGTCTATACTAAAATTATGATCATTTCGAATGTCGAATTAAATTTGATATGAATAAAAAAAGATTTTCGTTCCTTTTATATTTGTTTGCTTCTCAAAGTGATTTGAGCATGTGAAATTACGTTAGTTTTAACGAAACAAATCTTTTAATTTACGCAAAAGTAATGGAAAAAAATCAGAGTTTCCGAATTATTCCTTTGCATATTTTCTTGCTTTGTTAAACTACCTAAATAGGTACACTTTAAAGACTTCATTATCAGTGCGGACCTGAGTAAAAAAAAATCCGATTCTAAACAGATATGGTACTTCCATATGGATGGTGTTATCACATTATTAGTGTTGCAAATTATACTGTAAGATAAAGTATGATTGCATCATGTAGATCTATTAATGAATTGTAGGTTAATATTTTTCGTGGGAAATCTATTTCAAAATTAATGAACAAAACTTATATTTCTGAAAGAGAAACTTTTTAGATAGATACCACATATTTTGGAAATTTTTATTCACGATACGAGGTTTCTGAGTAATTTTTTTCTCTTACTTTCCCCCTTAGTTTCTTTTTTATTTTAAAATTTAAAAAAAGATACATTGGTCGTAACAATGTAAAACATTTATTACTCACATTTTTATCATTCAATTTATTATCCTATATTAAAATACTTGAATAAATTTATTTATTTTTGACGCCATCGTTCATTTAGAAATGTACTTTTTAATGACGGTGTTTTTGCAATATCCCATAATAATTCATCTATTAATATATGGTTATTTGAAAAATAAATATAAAAATATTACTTGATATTTACTATTAATCATCGAATCTAGCTTATAACTGAAAAAAAGATTTTCGTGAGTTATGTCATCAATTAAAACGGAAATTTGTAATTCCACGAGAAATTACATGTGCGTAAAAGTTTCAACCCATCAAGAAATCGGTTAGTGAATAAAGATTAAATGCTTGCGTGCTCAAAACGTGTGCGTTTTTGTTATTGAAATATCTATTTAAAGACGAGACACTAAACTTAGATCCGCTATTGTTTGAATAATATTTTTTTCTTTTTGATAACTAACAATAGGGGCATAACCGATTCCTCTTCTATTCAATATCATCATATACGATATAGAAGATATATTTAAACGAAACATCAAAGTTAACGTGTTAACTATTGTAATAAGAAGATATTAATATTTATATATATATTTGAATAAAGTAAAATTATTATTTATAATAATTATATATACTGCTCGGTGAGTAAAATGTACCTTATTGTTGTAAAATCACTGTACATTTGTATGTATAATATGCAAGTCATTGTTTGTAGATTTTCCTATTGTTCAAGTGCATGCATCTATCATTATCACGTGAATTGTTGAATATAATGATTTTTTTAATTATTTTGAGTCATTTTTTTTTTTTTTTTTACGAGAAATAGGGACAAATCAGTATTCATAAATAAGACGAAACGAAATAAGTATGATCGCAAACACTTTCATCCTTTGAATTATAAAATTGAAGCTATTATTCATTTGAAAAATAAAATTACTAAAATACTTTTATTTTCGGACAAATGCATTCCCGGCTGAAAATTCACATGAATTGAGAGAAATCAGCTGTTGGATCAGCAATCTTTTACTAAATCATGTAATAAATTGTGTACAAATCGTAGATTCAACTTCGAGAGATTTTCCGAAATAATAAATCTGCACAAGCTTTTCTCCGTACATTTTCTCCAAAGAACCCAAAAATTTTTTAAATTTGTTTTAATGTTCTGATTTCATTGTTTCACGTAAGCAGGAATATCATGTGTGATCGTTATCCGCATTACCGACATACATTGTAACAAAGAGCTTTGAGGACTGATGGGTATTCTGGAAACATGAAAGAGTGTATGAGTAAATACACGAAATAATAGGAAATCAAGAATTTTTTTAATAAAAAAGATGATCATGACCATACAGGATGGTGACTATATGTAGATCAGATATTACGATATTACGTATTCGGTCTCTATGACGAAGGGTTCTTATCTGTAATGATCTTATCACCTGCATGTATTTTGATCTAATGAGAATTATAAACGTCGCTTTCATTGCAATTCCTTATTTTGTTTATTAAAAGAAAAAAACACTACTTATTTTAAATTTGCTAATTGACATAAAAAAAAAATAAAGTGATAAAATAGAATAATTTAAACGACTACTCGAAATCCAAGTACAGCTTTCCGTGATTTACTTTCAAAAATTCATCAAATTTGATAAACGTAATTAATATTGACTTAGATGGTAATAATCAACTACCATTCGATAAACATGTGTAATGATTTATATTAAAGTTCATTAAAAAATTTTTTTTTGCTTAGACTCCCGCCCTCAACAAAAAAAAAAAAAAATTTTTTCCCGGCTATTACTATTTTTGTACAGAAATTTTGCGCGCAAATTTATTAATATGATATAACAATGTGCCAACTATTTGCCACGTATCACAATAAGAACAAATAAATAACATGTTTCACATTTGATGAAGTTTCAAGTATTTTTTTTTTTTAGGTTTCAGTCTTTGTTTATTCATAACGCCTAGCCTATAGAATTTGGTCACACGAAGGATTTTGTGATCAGCCAGTAAAAATTCTATTCATTTCTCAATTAACATAAGCATCGGACGTCTTGTGTCATTTTCAAATTAATATTTTGACGTCTTTGTCCATTATGAAGAAATACATGATATCATATATTACACATGACCTGCCTCATGCACTTATGCATAGAACTAACGAAATTTATTTATATTTTGCAAACAGATTCTATTTTTTCAATCACTCTTGTGATTAAAAGTTGAACAATGATGTTCACGTGTTAACTGGTAAATACTGCCGTATAATAAATGATTCATTTCGAATACACTTGGCTGTTCCGAAAATAATTTAATTATGTCATACGAATCTTCGAGAACATAAAACAACGTGCCGTGCCGTGATTACTATCAATAGTAGAAATACGATCATTTATAATGATAAAACGCTATGTAATTGTTTTATTTTTAAAAGTCATAAATCATACATAATATCATCTTACATTGTGAAAAAGAAAAGTGGGTAAGTTTATAAAAAAAAAAAAAAAAAAAAAAAAAAAAAAAAAAAAAAAAAAAAAAAAAAAATTTTTAACGATTTCTAAAAAAATATTTTTTACAATTTAAAAAAAAATAAAAATTTAAATTATAATTA